GTGAATGGAGGACAGTAATTCAGAAGCTACAAACCTATCGATGAAAATATGCATAAAAATTTACATTTGTATTTTCCGGAATACAGTTCGGACCACCCTGTATATATTTATTTATGAACGGTTTTTCTAAACTTCAAAAAAATTAGAGTTAATATAAAACCGCATACTATTCTAGCTTTATATCTTATAATGTTTTTTTTTAATTTTTATTAAAAAACAATAATTCGGCTAGATAGCCTGGCAGCTGTGGCCATGAAAAACTACTATAAAATACTACTACATCTATATCTCTGACTACTACTAACTGCTACTAACCAACAATTTATTTTGTGTGGTCTATGGTCTGTTTTTGTTTTGGTTTGGTTTGGAACAAAACATTTATTGTTCATTATTCATGTTGGGGATTTATTTCAAATTAATGTTAATCGTTAGGAAAACTCATAGAATATGTATTTCTTTTGCATAATCCAAATTGTCACTCTAAATGTATTTTATATAATCAAATTGTCACTCTAAATCGCTGTCTTTTTTAGACAGATGTCACTTGTCTTGTCATTATTCAATTCGTTATTCGAACTCTCAGAACGTTGTTAACAAAAGTTTCATCTTAAAATAAAATTTTAATAAATCACAATTGTTTATCTCCATCATTATACCGGATTAATAATACACAAATTACAGTTCAGTTACAAACAATTCATTATTTATAGTGGTTTACAGTAATTTTATTAAATTATACGAATATTCTCATTGATTATTGGTTTGAAATAAATGTGACAATGTCTTCCAATGAAAATGCGAGTTACTAACTCTAAATTCTAATTCTGAACTTGCAAATGAGCTAGATGCTTTACCTAGACCGTTATTCAGTAGCTACAAACCTATCCATTAAAATATGCATGAAAATTGACTTCCTAGCACACAAGGTTGGTACAATATCAAGTTTATTATAGTGATTTTCTTAGCCGCGTATGGCAGATCGTTATCCAGTATTACCAAAAGCTTATTTTTCATCGGGGTAGATTATCACGAGATAGCGAGGTTAAATTGTTTTACAAAGGGGTAGATCTACCCCGCATAGGGTAACCGTGGCTTACTGGCGTTATCACTTTTCCCCTCGCTATTTCGCACATGGTTCGCATGTCACGGCTGTCTCGCGGACGCTATTTAAAGCCGAGTGTAACGGCCTTGAATTTTTACTCCCAACGCGCGTAAATAATAGTGATGGGATCACTCGAGCGAAATTTCGCTCGGGTACTCGATTATTGAAATAACCGACATCGCTCGATTATAAACGAGCAATGCTAGTGACGAGTATCAAGCGACTAAAGCAAGCGATCCTAGAATAAAATAAATTGAAATCCGATTTTAATGTGACATACTCGATAAAAAGCCGAGCGAATTTTCTACATACATTGCAGGTAGCAAATTACTAAAAATACGACGCCGTATATACAGGGTGCTACAAATTCGAGGTACGAGCATTGGCATCTCGGTAACCGCAATAGATACGAACATGGTTAAATTAGGTCAAAGTTGCGCTTTGGGATGATCACCAAGATGCCATTAAAAAAGTTTGGAAAATTTCAAGGATTACTGAGTTTTTTGGAAAAAACGGATTTTTCTGAAAATCAATTTTATTTTTTCCTGTCGTTATTTTTTAGAAAATCGAAAAACTAATTGCATATTCTCATAGCCACTTTATCAGGGCTATCTGATAGTATTTTTAGATTTTCAAATTAGCTTATAATTTGTGAGATACAGAGACCAACTTAATTTTTTTAAATACGGACCTGCATTTTTTATTTCATGTTTTGAAATACCTCGGTCTCCTGAGTACAATGATATGCCACACTTGATACTTTTTTTTTGTTTTGGGTAAAACAATAAAAAAAACTATTTAATTGTTATTTAAAATAATTTCAAATCCGACTCTGGTTTTTTAATTTATTTAATCTGATTATATTCAGCACAATAATATTAATCAGTGCTAATTAACATTGAATAAAGAAAATCAATAAAAATTGTTTTGGATATTTGAAATCAATACATTTCAACATTAAGACTACAAAAACAATTAGCGAGTAATAAAAAACAATTAAAGAGTACAAAATGCATTCGGAAGTATAAGAAAATCTGTTCAAAGAGCTATAAATAAGATTGAACGAAAAATAAATTTGTGCATTATGGAGGGTGGTAACCCTTTCGAACATGCAGAGCATTAGAAACTAGTTTGTAGAAGTTCATTTATTTATATAACTACGATTAATATTATACATAATATTAGATCGTACACTGGGATTTCAAATTCACAATAAAAAAAAGTTAAAATAATAGATATCTTTAAATTACTGACCTGGATATTAATTATTTGAATCTTTCAATTGGCGTCATTTTCATTATTCAATGTTAATTGGCACTGATCAATATTGTTGTGCTGAATATAACCAGATTAAATAAATTAAAAAACCAGAGTCGGACTTGGAATTATTTTAAATAACAATTAAATAATGTTTTTAAGGTATCCCAAAAAAATGTCAAGTGTGGCATATCATTGTACTCAGGAGACCGAAGTCTTTCAAAACTTGAAATAAAAAATGCAGGTCCATATTTAAAAAAATTAAGTTGGCCTCTGTATCTCACAAATTATCAGCTAATTTGAAAATCTAAAAATACCACCAGATAGCCCTAATAAAGTGGTAATGAGAATGTGCAACTAGTTTTTTGATTTTTTAAAAAGTAACGACAGGAAAAAATAAAATTGATTTTCAAAAAAATCCGTTTTTTCCAAAAAACTCAGCAATTCTTGAAATTTTTAAAACTTTTTTGATGGCAACTTGCATGTTCACCAAGGAGCAACTTTGCCCCAATTTAACTATCTTCGTATCTATTATGGTTTCCGAGATACCAATGCTCGTACCTCGAATTTGTAGCACCCTGTATATTTATCCGTTGTGGATCTGAGAGACAAAATTTTACGACCTACATCGACAATGCTTTGAAATAAACTAAATCAAGCGATCAAGCGAATCGCTCGCCGCTTGCTACTTGCCATTCATCACCGAAAGATTATGTGCCATAGAATAACTAACTGAAAGAAATGAAAACTCCTATGTTAAAGCCTGGAAACACGCGCTCGACGCGATCCAAGCGGGCTACTGGCAGAACTAAAAGTTCGCGCCATATTTTTAAATGGATCTTTACTGCCAGTTCATAAGTTTTTTACTTATATTTGGTAATTTCAATCTAGATTATGAACTTATTTGTAACAAAACATTTTACAAAATAAAAATAATGTATTTTGATACAAATAAATTAATAATCTAGGTTGAAATTATCCCTGAAATTAGAATAAAACACGAAAAATTTGTAACTTGATTATTTTATTATAACATTGTTAATAAAATTACATATAACACATTCAACACTATACAAGTATATATAAAAGTTATCAGAATTTATACAATCAGTTATAAGTAATTATAAAAAAGGTTATAAATTATAAATAAATAATTCATTATATAAAAGACATATAGTTACCGTGAATATAATTTGGTATAACTTTAATCTCAACTTTAATGACCTATTCAAATAGAAACATCTTACAATTCACATTATATAATACACAAAGCCAAGGGACAAAATTGTTATTAAATCTATTCTCGATGACTCGAAGCATTTTTTTTTCAAATAAAACAGGACATATAGGGCTTATAAATAATACAAGGGTATAGAAAATATATAAATAAGTAAATACAAATATATTTTCAACCTAATGATTAATGATTATACTCGTTTAAATAAATAAATGATCTTTTTAAAATTACTTGTTTGTCTTTGCAAATTTGTATATTTAATATTTATCTAAAAGCGTACACTTACATAAATTACTGCACAACCTTTAAAATTAAGCTTTTAATATGTTATACAAATTCTTGATTCGATATAAATACACTTAAATAAAACTTTAAAATTAATGATCTTCCAAATTTCTGAGACAGCCATTTTGTTGAAAGAATTTGTTTTGATTATGAGAAATTTCATAAAAATTATCACAGGGATTAATTAATCTTATATATTAAACTACTTGGCTTTTAAATTTCACAATCCTATCGTCCAAAATACTCTAAATTCGCAAAAATCCGTAAAATATTCCCATAAAAACAAATCACAATTCACTTCCACTTCACAGAAACTGACAGACATTGCCAAATATGGAATGACGTTTATTTTTCAATTTATTTTACTGATCAACTGATCTGGGTCACTTAGAAATTAAATTTTTATTAAATTATTTAATTATAATTGTTTCTTGGCGAAAGCAACTTCATATCAATGTTTATTCATAGGGTAACAAAGCACATCACTGTTAAATTATCAACATTTTATATAAATATTTATATTTTTCAACTACTCCAACTACTCCAATTACTCCACAGAGAATCAAACGAATTGTTAATTAAACTATACTCTGTGGATGACTTGATAAAATCATGATGAAATTAAAGTCCCTAGATGAATATCTAGGGACTTTAGATGAAATTTCTACGCAGCGCCATCTATCCCTCTACTGGCAGAAACTCCGCCGTGTTTCCAAAATTCAAATGGCAGTTTCATCCGCCTGTTATGTGCCCTGCGCACATAACTTATTGCTTGGCCTTAATGAGATCTTACAACAAGCGACGGGTGAAAAACCGTATTTTTAAATACGAGTGATATTTCGCTCGAACGATCACTCGGTTATTGCAATCGCTTGAAACTCGAGTACTCGATTAATAAAATTAATCGGTTTTTCTCATCACTAGTAAAGAAGTTTTACTTCAAAAATGATTTGTGATGTGTGAAAAAGAAATAGCACGTTCTATTCGGAGTAAAAATGACTTTTTGTGTCTCGCCTGTAATATCGTTATCAGGAGGAAAAATAATTTTTACTCCTAATAAAACAATATATCTACAATTATTACTAAAACAATAGATTGCAAAAATGTTGTGTTACTTACATGCACACTATTTCCTACTGATAATTCCACATCCAGTTGAATTACCGATCCGCTATGGTCTGCAGGTTCTACCCTTATAACACCAACTAGTTCACCACTATTGTCAGTTTGGTACTGGAATATTCCTGGACATGGACTGCTACTGGACATAGGCCTGTTGTCAACATTACCCGAATATTTGTACATTAGAAAACCGCACAAGCATTCGGACGTTAAAAACACTAATATAAGTACTATCACAGATGGCGTCATTATTTATAATTTGTTTCTATCAATTCACTAAGGAAAATTGTCTTTAAGGCACACAATTAATACACGTCAAGTTCACTGTGGGATTTTCTGTTTACTGGCATTAGTTAAATTATTTTTAAGAAAATTTCCTTTTTGCACCAGTCCATCGAAGGTTTTTGAAAATCTGAAAATAAAATAAAACAAATGTCAGTACATTTACTAAAATCTCTAGAATGGGGAATTGCATACATAGGCAGAGAGAGAAAAAGAAATTATAGTAAGCTGAATAGGCATTTAAAGCTAATGGGATTGAAAGACAAAGCTATGTGCAGGTTCAGTTAATCTGAAGAAGAAACAACAGATGTTCATAGTTGTTCTATGAACAGGAAATATTCGAACTTTTTCTATATTTTGTAGGTCTGCTTTGGAAAAAAATCCCCAATTTTTCTTTCTTAAAAATTATGCGATGTGGCGTTTTCTTAAAATACACAAAAAAATGAGTAAATAATACAGGGTTGTTCACCACATTCGACACGGAATATTGTAGCTAAACTATTAGATTTTTACAAATTGTAAGTTTTGGGTTCGTTGAAGGACTATTAGAGCTACAATTTAAAAATATTTTTACAAGATACAGACTGTCCCAAATAAATAAAAAATACCAAAGTGTATTTTTTTAAATGGAACACTCTGTATATTATTACATTTTTAGTTTCTACGATTAAAATAAAGGTAAATTTGATTAAGGTCTATTACACTTAAACCTTACCGTTTTTGAAATATTTTCAATTTTGTGAAATTGCAGTATAAATTTTAAGGCTTCTCCGAGAAGTTTTTAATACTAAATATTTACTGAAGTTTATTTATTGATCAGTTCGTGTGTTGCAATAATAAAAATTTTACTACCTTATACAGAGTGTTTAAATATTTATTTTAAATAATTATTAGCTTTAAACGGCAATAACTTGTTTAATTTAAATAGAACACCCTGTATATTTTATAAGAATCAGATGCACAATTTAATTATCTATCAAATTGTATTATACCATTTTTTACCTATCTCTTCAAGTTTCCGTAGAAAATGCATTTTCTTGTAATTTAGAACTCATTTATCAATATACCCATGGAATACTGACATTTTAGATTATTTTTAAAGATGTATCAAAATGTTAAAGAGTACAGATACTAATATTGTCGATATAGTTCGTTTATTTCATTAAAAAATAAAAAAAACTATTTAAATATTTGTTAAAGAGGACCAATTAATATGATTCGAGTATTCAAACTACATTAATTGACTGTTTGCGTTGATTAATAATAATTGCTCCAGATACTAAAAAACTAACACCTTAAAAATGATATTTCATTTTTTGACAAATGCTTATTTATAACAACAGAAACGTTCATTTTCATAACTTATTATTATATTGATTTCTGATTCAAATCCACATTTATTTAGAATAATTTATTAACGAACACAATTAAGTATGTAATCAATTAGAATTTGGTCGGAAATACTGGTGGTATATTTAATTAATGGTATACTCTTTTATAAAGATTTAAATAGTTTTCTTTTTGCATACAAATTGGCTAGTAATATTATCGTTTTAGTAAAAATGATAATATTACTAGCCTGTACATTTTGTACATTTGTTGTTTTAAAAACAATCTAAAATGTCAATATTCCATGGGTGATAAATGAGGTCTGAATTATTAGAAAATGCTTTTTCTACGAAAACTTGAAGGGATAGGTAAAAAGTGGTATATTACAATTTGATAGACAATTAAATTGTGCATCTGATTCTCATAAAATAAACAGGGTGTTCCATTTAAATTAAACAAGTTATTGCCGTTTAAAACTAGTAATTTTTTAAAATAATTTTTTAGACACTCTGTATAAGGTAGTATAATTTTTATTATTGCAACACAATAACTGATCAATAAATAAACTTCAGTAAATATTTAGTATTAAAAACTTTGATACCCTCGGAGAAATGAAGCCTTAAAATTTATTCTGCAATTTCACAAAATTGAAAATATTTCATAAACGGTAAGGTTTAAGTGTAATAAACCTTAATCAAATTTACCTTTATTTTAATCGTAGAAACTAAAAATGCAATAATATACAGGGTGTTCCATTTAAAAAAATACAACTTTGATATTTTTTATTTATTTGGGATCCTCTGTATCTTGTAAAAATATTTTTAAATTGTAGCTCTAATAGTCCTTCAACGAACCCGAAACTTACAATTTGTAAAAATCTAATCGTTTAGCTATAATACTCCGTGTCGTATGTGGTGAACAACCCTGTATAGCAGGACCATTTTACGAAAAAAAAAATCAATCGTTGGTGAAGTTAAAAAAATGTTTCTACTATAATTTATGTAGCAGTGGGGGTGCTTTTCACCCTTTTCGTATTTTTTCTTTTTTTGTGAAAGTCAAATATTAAAAACATAGACACCCCAAATCTCATCCAAATCAGAATATCGGTTCTTAAAATGTGTTTTTATAAGTTTGATGCCTTATTCTAATGGACAAAAGAAGCAATTTTGTATGGAGGTAAATTTTGTCCAATAACATTATTTTGATTCCAAAAAATCGTAGTAGTTCTATGTCCACGGAATATTCTTCACTCTGTATATCTGTACTTTGTTGAATCTCTTTTAGTTTCTTGGAACACCCTGTTGGCAGTTATAATTAACAATTTCAATGTAACAGAAAATGGAAAATTTTAATTTTATAATAACCATGTTTATAATATCTTTTCAATCATTTTTTTATATACCTATACAACTGTACTGATTATTATTATTATTATTGGTAAATATTAAATCAAAAACAACTAGTGACAAAGGAACACCTAGATTTCTCATTAAATTCTGTACAGAATAATGAATATCATTTCCGTTTCAACAAAGAGATTATTAAAATTAGCAGATTCTTCGGAAAATCCTAAAAAAACACGAACCATGGCACATTTATGAATTTGATATACCTACTATGTTAAATTATGCACAGAATATTAAAAATTTAACTGAAAATGAAAATAAACAAACAGAATTATTATTTTTTTAATGCATCAGTCCCAGAGGATTTCCTGAAAAATTATAGAGGGTGTAAATATCAAAATATAAAAAATATTGTGTGTATGTGTGTGTGCACTATGTGCGCATATTTAAAGTAAAACTTCTGCTGTTTTAATATAAATAATGTTATTTCCAATTTATTTCGGTAATCTGTACATACATTTTCTGTTTCCTAAGTAGCCTCACCACTTTTTTTTCTCGCTTGCTCGTGCGTCAAGGCATGGTCAAGGTCATGCCGTGTCAAGGCCGTAACACAGCACGGCCTTGAATTTTTACTCCCATGGCGCGTAAACAAGTTTCACTTCAAAAAGGGGTTGCTTTTTATAAGCTTTTATTTAACTTGCTTTGTATGTAGTATCCTTTATGTATGTTTGTTCGGGGCAAATCTTGTAAGCTAAATTAGAACCACTTCCTTTTATTGTAGGAAATTGAAATTTGGCATGTAGGTTCAGTCCCGGTGACAATACATTTTTTTGCAAAGCATGACCCGAATTTTTGACAGCTGTCAAAATGGCAATCAAAATGGCGGCATTTTTGAGGTTTTTGATTTTTTGAAATTCTATTTATGAATGGATTGGGCTGAAATTATATATATAGGTATATTGTGGGTATATTATTTTATTTTAAGTCTATGGGGTATATACATATGAAAAAAAATATATGGGCGGCCATCTTGAAAAAATGACAGTTTAATGACATGTCAAAATTTCAAAGTCAACCGATTTTGATAAAAATCGAAATATAGGATGGCCATGGGCTAAAATGAAAGAAAAAAAATTGAGCCGTCAAATTTGACAGCTGTCAAAAAAATTTCATTCTCCGATTTTGATAAAAATCGATATATAGGATGGCCATGGGCTAAAATGAAAGAAAAAAATTTGAGCTGTCAAATTTGACAGCTGTCAAAAAATTTCAAAGTTGTCCGATTTTGATAAAAATCGATATATAGGATGGCCATGGGTTAAAATGAAAGAAAAAAAAATTGAGCCGTCAAATTTGACAGCTGCCAAAAAAATTTCAAAGTTCTTCGATTTTGATAAAAATCGATATATTGGATGCCCCCTATCCCATAGTCGGTTTTCATATTATTTGTCTCACATCTGAACTGTAAAATTTGACAGCTGTCCTTTTTTAAGCTCTCCTTTTTTAATAAAAATCGATATACATATTATTAAGATGCCCATAGGAAGGTATTAAAGAAAAAAATTGAGTTTAAGTGTGTTGCACTGAGAAACCAGCATAACTAAAAAGTAGAAAATCAATTTTAGAAAAAAAACTTTTTTAAGAACAAGCTTTTATTTAAATACACTAAAAGTAAAAAAATAAACTTTTTCCTTAAAACTTTTATTATGAACTTATAACGTCATTACACAATTTTAAATATTATATGAAAGCTTGTCGCGAGATTTCTCTACATCGATAACAAGTAAATTAACTAAAACCTATGTCTACCTTGTCTCATTTTGAAAGTTTGTGTTATGATAGACCACTAGACCAGAAATTACAAGATAAAGTTGTCGTACCAGATTTTTATGAGTGCAACTCAAATCTCGCGACAAACTTTTATATAATATTTAAAATTGTGTAATGACGTTATAAGTTCATAATAAAAGTTTTAAAGAAAAAGATTATTTTTTTCCTTTTAGTGTATTTAAATAAAAGCTTGTTCTTAAAAAAGTTTTTTTTCTAAAATTTATTAAAATAAGAGATGTTGTTCCTATCAGATTTTTCAATTTGATGGATCCTCACATCTTTTAAAGATATTTGCTTATACAAAAATTATTGACATAAATTATTTGAAAACACAGAAAAAATAGATTGGTTCCCAAAATTGAAGGAAAGGAATATTTATTTTTAATTTTCAATGCGAAATAACTCGGTTATTTTGGGTTATCAGTTATCACCCTGTACATACATACTTTATTTTTTAGGAGTTGTTTTGTTGGAATTAATTCAGAAGATTCCATTGACTGGAATTTACAGTTACAAAAAAAATACACAAATATTCTCGTTCAGCTTTTGTTCAAGAAATATATTGTATTGAGTGGATTCATTGTTTTAAGGATCACACACAATATGAAAGGTAAATTCTTGTAGC